CCAGGACCTTGGTGCAATCCTTTTCCAGATAAATCAGGCACTGATACTGACATTTTTCTTTCTTTTTTCCTTTGTGTTTTGTTGCTAAAAAAAAAATGGAGAGTCCCTGACTTCCTTGTCATATCAAGCAGAATTATTGAATATTCGAAACCTTTACAAAAACCTGGAAAACACAGATTTTTCTTTTCTAATTTCCCTCAGCTTCAATCAGAAAAATTCTCAAACTTTAGATTGTATTATTATAAGCATAAATTCCATTCTGTTGAACTCTGTATATTTGAGGTTAAATTGGTTGATTAATTTTATACAGTTAGACTCTTAAAACTTTGATTGTTAAATGTTTTTTTAGTAGTTTTTCCTGCAGGTTTGTCATGCATAATGTGTTTGTTTTTTCAGTCATTACATGAGACAGATACTGGAAGCTCTACGTTACTGTCATGATAATAATATAATTCACAGAGATGTGAAGGTAAGGGGGCTTAATTATTTTTTTTTCTCCACCATAATAATGCAAACTACTGAATTTCAATTTCTGTAGAAAAGAAGAAAGCTCCTTCTGTTAGAGAAGGGAGGAGCTATAGAAGAGGAATCTCTATTTGCTGAGTGTGTCTTTACTCTTACTGTGTCATGTAAGATTAAATCCCACCCTAATTCCATCAATACAGAACATTTAGGAGGTCTGTATTCACAAATTATGCATGCATTTGATTACAACTTGCTTTGAAAGTCAGTTTTATTTCTAGTTTTTGGATATTCATATGGAATCTGCTTGCATTTTTTTCTTGTTAGGAAAATGTGTATATAAATTAATTGCATAAATTAAACTAGAATTGGTAGTTTATTGGCATCAGTTTGAAAGCATAATGACAGCCTTCATTCACACTAAGATTTCATAGAGATGCACATGCTTAAATGCTACAGTATTAGTAATAGTATCTACTTCTTGGAGATAGTCCAATAAACATTTATTATTACGAAAACTTCCTTAATATAAATAAGTTTGTGAGGAGAAATGCAGTGTTTAAGACCAGTGTGTTTACATACTGGTTTTGATCTGGTAAACTTTGTACTGTTTCTATGGATATTTATGGAAGTAGTTTATCCCAAAGTACTTTAATGTAACAGGCTGGGAGTTTTAACCCACTTGACTCTCTTCAATTTGAATATGCATGTTCTTTGTTAATGTCATTGCCTAAAGTAGCTATTCCCACTGCTCCAAGAGTTTGGTTTCACCCAAAATGAGTCAAGCATTGTAGGAATTAAGGAAAATTCTAGCAAGCTCTTATGGTGCAGTTTGAGAAGTGACTCTTGGATTTTAGTTAATAGAGAAGATTGAGAGGAGGTTTACTGTGTTCAAACTCCTGCAGGTGACCTGTGAGAGGAGAGAGTACAGACATTGAACTGGTGTTTTTTATAAGGAGTCATTTGGTCTTCTGTACCCAGACATTGCAGACCATTCCCAGCCTCCTACTCCTTTCCTCTTAAAATCAAGAAGGTTATTATGTAAAACACTTTAAGTTTCATGTTTTAATAGTAATTTCTTAAAACAGATTCTAAAAATGGGCTCTTAATTGCTGGTAGAATATCTCATCTTGCTCTGTATTGATGATTCTAGGTACTTTCAATTGTTTGGTTTTGGTACCAAATGAATTTCAAAATTAACCTCATCTTGATGTTGCTGTGTCTTCATGAAACCTCCATCTGTCTTTCTTGGACCATATTCTTGAAAAAAACACCAAGTTTTAGCTTCAAGGGCCTCTGAGGGAGGCCCATTTCACTAAGGGTAAAGTGGGAATTTATTTCAGTGCTTATCCTGCCTCTTAGAACCTCAGAATCACAGGGGTTTTTTATATACCATCCTTATAAATGAACCCATTCAAATTACATGGGTTAGGAAAAATGTCTAAGGTATCAGTCTAAAGCAGTGTAAAGCAACTTTTGTTTTGGCAAAAGCAGTGCAGAGCTGTAGGGCTTGGGAGTAGAACACATTAAACTAACTGCAGTATCCAGGCTCTAGATGTCACTGTAGACATTGTTTTGAAAGGAAATAGACTAAATGACCTCTTTAGAAATTACCTGAATGGATGAAAGTGCTTTAATAAAATCTGTAAGGCTGATATAGTCAGGCTACATTTTTTTCCCTTTTAGACTTTCTGTGAATGTTATTTTGAAATGTGAAATGCTTGGTTGTTTTCTGCTGCACAGGAAAATCAGCACCCTATTGCCCATGTAAGGTTTAGGTGTCTTTCAGCTGGTTTTGTACTCCCTTAGCTCCTGTCTGATTAGAAAGTTAGGCAGTTTAGGGTAGACAGAATTCAAGTTTGCTGTTGTCTGTTGCCAGAAACTTCACCTGACTTTTCCAAGTGACTCCAGTCTGGGACAAACTCCCTGTGCCCCACATTCACCTCTGATGACAGAATCAAAATGTGAAAGCCTTCACAAGATGGCCTGTACTTGTCCTAATTGCTCTCACTGCACTGTGAGACCAGGTGTCTCTTGATCCTGTGCACATCATTTGACCCCCTTCACCATTGCTTAAAGGCTTTATAATCAGTGACAATTGCACATTTGCTTCACCCTCAGTTAATGTGATCCTGCAGTGCTTGGCAGCTGGATATGGTAAGGAAAACAGAAGATGCAGGAAGGTAGAAAACTCAAAGACAGCTGAGCATCAGAAATGCAAATGTCAAGAACTTTTTCCCTCACCACAATATTTGTTCCTGTTCAGCCAAGCTACTGATAGAGGACTCAGCCATTCCTTTTATTCTGTCATAACCATGCTGTGTCAGGGATACCCAGTGGTGGCTGTTGAAAGTAGCAGCACTGAAAGGGAATCTTTTCCATTACCAAATGTTATTACAGAGCAGTTTGTGTACAGAGAAATCTTTATGTAAGAGAACAACAAAAGGGAAGGGGGAGAGATGTGGGTCTGAAAGGAGAGTCTTGTCTTTTCTTGTAAAACTCTTGCTGCAATTTGAGTACCATTTGTCACTGGCTTTTTTTTTTCAAAAACTTTCTCAGAATGGTTTTTATCAGTAAAACATCAAGAGGTTTTGCAATCTTTTGTGAGCCTCTATTGTTATGTAGAACTTTCCATAGTTGCAAAAACTGGTGTGCAGATGGGGTCAGGGTGAGCCTGTCAGCAAAATGCAGACTTCCAAAATTTTCATTATGGCTTTAACTTAGTATGTATGAATGCTTGTTCCTTATATGTGATAATCTAAATAGACAAACCTGCTAAAGCAAAAATGCACATATTCTGCCTTCTCTGTCATTAAGATTAATGAATGCTCAGTAGTTCTGTGACTGGGAGTCAAAACCAGGGAGTTTTTGCAAGGAATGGGACCAAGCATTATTCTCTGTACTGTGTGTCATATACACATCTGAGTTGGTCCAGGTGACCTGAGACTTGATCTGTGGATAGATTTGCATGGTGTTTTTTGCACTGTATAGGACTTAACCTGTGACACAAATTCTGAGAGCGCACTCAGTTACCACTTCTGTCTTTCATTGCCTGAGCTGCTTGTAGCTCAGCATTTCAGACTTTGCTGGTAGACTTCAATACTCTTACACTTCTGCTTTTAGGCATATCTAAAAATGAGTAAAAGTAGTATATATGTGTTTATGTGTGTTTATGAAACTTTATATTGACTATTTAAAAAATAGCCAGAGTGGAATCTATTCTTTGAGACAATCTTCCTGTTTCAATCTTTGAATACCCAAAACAAGAAATCTGTTGCATGTTACTTTCCTTCCACTCTTTTCACTTTGAAACTTCTTTTATGCTTTCTGGGGACATTCATTAATAATTGGTATTTTTTTTTGTATTTACTAGAACTTACTAGATCCTTGAGATCCAGTAGCAACATCTTGGTGAGGATTTTCAACATACTGAATTGTTGCAAAGTGATTAAGGCTGCAAAACCACTATCAGAGGTGCAGGTGAAGGGTCCTACCTGGCCACATTTTTTTCTGAGGAACACTTCCTCATTCAATGGACAAGAGACTACAAAAGCAAAACTTTCAGTACTTTTTCTCAGTGTTTCTTCAGGCAGTGCTCTTTTCCCCCTGTTTATTTTCACTCCTGTGCCTCTGCTTCCTGTCTCAAGGTCCCCATGCTTGTTTTGTCCAGCCTTTTTCCTATTGACCTGTTAGTATGTTCCAAAGCAGATTTTCTGAGAAGCATATTTATTCTGCTTGGCCTACCTGGAGTTGAACATTTACAAACTTTCTGGTCACTAATTTTATATGTTTCAGTCATTTGCTCACAGTGTCAAAAAACTCATGTCTTCTGATCAATGAGCAGGCTTCCCATGCAACACATTTGAATGTCTTAACCAAAAATTTGAGAGATACTTGTGGTCTCAAACCTGCTTTGCAAACCAGGTGCTGTGCCTATTTTCCTTATGATTTTGTGTTCACTGCAGTAGAAGTGAATTGTTTTATTGTTTTTATTAAACAATTCATGTGTCACCTGCTAACTTCTGATTTTGGCACCAGCATGTCTAAGCAATGCAAGAAGTTTGCCACATGTCCCTCATGCCTTTAAATTTTGGGGGATTTTTCCTCCATTAACTTTTCTGTCAAATGCTAGACCAATGCAGGACTCAATTTGTAGTTTCTCAAATTGCCTGTACTGCACAAATTTATTTTCACAATTTGAAGCAAGAAAAGCTTTGATGCATGTAAGAACTTTAAAGGACATCATCTTGGGCAGATTATCTAGGAAAAAAGTCAGGCATATGTCATGTTTTGATGCTATATAGAAGTGTTGGAGTGGGATCTTGCTCACAGTCTGCCACAAAGTTATATTTGATTAATAGTTCTCAAAGTTTCATTCATTTTCTTGCCTTTTTGATAAGCAATGGGGACCAAGTGATTATGACTAGGAAAGTGTAGAAGCAATGACTTCAGACTATGCTGGCCTCAAAAACTGTGTTAAGAGAAACAACCCCAGGCAGGCATTGTGCTGAGATAGCTGCAGCTACATTCCCTATGAAATGTACTTCAGGAAAGGACAGAAGTGGTGGGGTTTGAGTTTGTGTCTGTGCAAATTAGAAGAGCACTTTGGTAGTGCTCACCCAGACTTGCAGCTGATGATCTAAAGCCATTCCTGCCAGCAGCACTTTGCCATCTGCAAAACTCAGTTTTGCAGTTACTTGGCCATTGGATGTGTAGCACAGTTATGGTTCAGCCATCCCAAGGAAAGTGTGCTTTGTTCAGTATTCATGTAAAGGAAGCCTGTGTCCAGAACACCTACTGATAACAAGAGAGAACTGGGTCCTCAACTTCAGCCTAGATTTTGGTTTCTTCCTTGACTTTTTTTAGGTAAAAGGAGCTGTCCATAGGTCAAATGTAAAATGTCTTTTGTATTATGTGCATGAATGGTTATTACACTGTTCACTGTACAAACTCCTTGGATTAGTTTGGGTAAACACATTGGATTTATTATGGCTAATGTTGGTGTAGCAAGCAAGATTATTTGAAAATAAAATACAGTATGTTACAATTTTATTTAAATATTTACCATTTTATATCAAAGCCTGCCTAAAGGTAGTTAGATTTTGTTTGTTATTATTTACAGTCTATGAAAATCTTTCCATATGCCTTCCCATTTCAGTGAAAGTATCATCATTGCCTTTTTGATGTTCTGGTGTGGATTTTGTAAACAGGCCATAAAGACTTTTCTTAAATGTTTTATCCAACAGAAGGGTTATAACTGGATCTAAACTGCTTTTAGCAGCAGCAAGACAAGTAAGGAAATTTTTAATTTCCACTAGATAGTTTAACCTTGGACAGTCATTATATGTAAGCAGTGCATAGAAAATTGGCCTAAAAATATGGTGTGGAAGAAAGCAGACAGTTAATATCATCTGGATGACAAGAATGTTTCTTTTCACTGTTCTGTAAATTAGATGTTTTTCTCCAATACAGGTGTTTTTTTGTATTCTGCTCAGATGTCTGGTAAGAGAATAGTACGACCACAAAACAGTCATAAAAGACAAAAAGAAGCACACAGTGGCAAGGGAACCTGCAATCATTGCAGGACGTTCACCAGCTTCTACCCTGATGTTGTAGCACGTGGGGAACTCGGCGGGAGCCCTCTCCTGAGCGTTGTACATGATGGCTGTGACCGTTATGCACATCACGATCAGCCAGATAACCACACACAAATATTTAGCGAATTTTGGCCGCCGGAACTTGTGCAGCAGGCGCCCGTGGAGGTTTCCTGGGAGAGCTGGGGACGGCTGTGTGCCGCTGTTCCTCTTCAGCGTGGCATACTGGCTGAGGGCGATGGAGCACAGGATGGCGATGGTCACGTACATGCTGACGTGCATGACCAGCGTCCCCAGGTGATGGGCGATCCTGCACGCCACCGAGCCGTAGGGCCAGCGGTGCCCGTCCGCAAAGTAGGCGGCCAGGAAGGGCATGGTGCTGCAAACCAGCAGATTTGCAGCCACGAGGTTGGCCAGGTAAATGTACTGTGTCCTTCGGGTGGGCGCTTTCCGTGAAAATATCCAGGCGGCCAGAATGTTCCCAAAGATTCCAGGGGGAAGGAGGCAGGAGTAGATGATGGGGAGAGCTACGGTGGTAGCTGGCGATGGCTGAAGACACGATGAATTGTTCATTTATGGCAGTGTTTCTTGAGTGCTCAGAGCTGAAATGCAGTTTAAAAATTAATATTTCTGTAATGTGCATCTAACATCTCTTTGCTCTTATCTCAGCTGTTTCTTTGTCTCCCCAACTTTTCAGTGTTCATTTGATGCTGTTACCTAAAGTTTACATGAGGTTACACTTTGGGCATTCTCTTCCACTGGAATTTCATAAGGAGAAGTTAAACCTCAAAGCTTTTATGTGCATAGAATCTAATGAAATAAATTAGGAAGCTGAAGGTTCAAGCTAAGGTCTGGCAATATCTTCTGTGATCTTGGTTTATTTCTCAGTCTTCTGGAACATCTGTAACCTAATTTGGAAACCACTTAGAAACCATTTAAAATTAAATAAGCAAATTAAGCGCAAAGAATTACTTTAATTCCAGAAATGCAGAAGGGTGTCTGTACCTTCATTTAACTACAAATTGGTCTGTATGCTGCAAGAATCTTGCTGTTTATTTATTCTCACTGTATTTATTCTGTGCTCATGTCTGTATATGGTGTTACTTTATCACAGCTCTAATGTCAGATGTACAACTCAGCAATACTTAGCAACTCAGTCTATGTTTTTTAGCATATAAAATGGTTGTTAAAAACTGCAGTATATTAATTTTTTCCAAGTTAGTTTTTCAGTCTTTTCTCAATTTCCAAACTGAAACTAAGAAATGAAAGGTCTGTGCAATGACTCGGTAAAAACTGACATTGCAGCTTACAAGCCTGTAGTGGAGATTTGTTACTGCTGTATGCATACATATGCATACATGTTTTAGTGGAGTGTATCCTAGTTAGCTTTTTTTTTCATATCAAATCAAATGGAAAAAAATATGATTTCAAACAGAGATTGATAATATTCTTGTTTAAAAAACTGTAAGCAAATGAACTCAGATGCTAAAGAGGATTCAGTGTGGGAATGATAAAAAGCCCAGACACCAAAGCAAAAAAACTGTGCTGTATGTGGTGTTTGACAAACTTGCAACTTAAACTAACTTTCACAGCTCTTGCATTTTAGCCTACACTAAGTTCCATATGTATTGTTGAACTAAAACATACTAAATTATTTTATTATAATGAGTTAAATTAATAAAGTTGCTGCTGAATTTACTCATTTTAGTAGTCTAATGAAAACTTTTGTGTCATTGACCAAATTTCGTCAGGTAAAAAAAAGAAGTGGTAATTTTAAGCTTACCTATACAAGCTGCAGGCACCTTCCTTTGCTGAGAGGAAATATTTCTGTCTGGTGTCTGTTTTATCTCCACTGCTGCAGTGAAAATGATGGCACTGGAATCTGGAGAGTACAGTTAAAAATTTATCTCTGACATAAGTAGGTTTTCAGAGTGCACACTTTCCTTTTACAATGTCAGGAGGCAGGTAGGCATTTAAAGTTCAGAAAAGGTGATGTCTGTACAAAAAAATTAAGTCAGGATCAGCTCCATTAAGGAAAAAAAAGAGATAGAATAGAAGAGCAGCTGTAACAGTCCTTAGGTACAGCACAGAAGCACCTTGCAATCCTTTATATAGTGCTTCCCTCTTTGAAGGGGTGGAGGGGTTCTCTTTAGGACTGCCCACTTTCCATCCTGCTGCTATTTTATGCCTTAAAACTTGTCTTTTCAGTGATATTTAACAGCTCTTGAGCTCCACGAGCCATCACCAAGCTGTCTATTCCCAAAGCCCATGTGCAGTAGTGCTGTGTCCGTGTCTGTCCTCACATGAGTGACCAGATGGACACATCTCTTCTGTCTGCTCAGGTGTTGGATTGTGTGGAAGCAATTTACAGCTGCTGCATCCAAGGGTTCCGGCAGGGAAAATGGACTCAGTGTCCAAGAAGTGCATTTTACACAAATCAGCCAGAGTTGCAGACAGGACAGTTTCCTTCCTCCACAGCATAGGAATGATCACAGGTCAAACTCTGCTTAGCTCTGCAGAAGTTGAGACTTTTGGGTTTTCTGCTTTCTTATACATCTGTGGTTGTAAGATAAGGCTTTTCAACACCTATAAATAAGTTCCTTTATGAGAACAGAAGTCTGGTAAGGTTCTTGTTTTGCTGGTTTGGCTTTGTTTAAGCATGAACTATGAGAATTCATCTCATGCCCTGTTATCATTGTTCAGTCTCATTATTACTAATTTTTCTACTAAAATAATGGACATGTAAGCTGGCTTCCTATTCTGAATTCATAGTCAAACTCATTTGCAATTACATTTATTTGTTGTGGAATATTAGTAATTAGGCTGTAAAGCTGTAATTAGTTTTCATGTACTTTAATTCTAGTTCTTGTTAAATTTAATTATACCTTGTTTTCCACTTTTGAATGTATAGTTATATTAAAAATCATTCTAACAGAGAGTCTTTTGTATTTATTACATGTTTAATAGTTTCTTAATTAATGTTAGAATTCCTTGTTACTGTGGTGTTCCACTGAGGTTTAGATACAAGAATGCATATCCTGTAAAATTACTGAGAGTGGTGTGAACAATTCCAGTTAGCAGGTTTTTTTAAATTACTATTATTATTTGGTTGGTTATTGACTGTTGCCTGTAATATTTATAATTTAATGATAATAACTCATGCTGTAAGAGATAACTGCTACATTTTTTTTCTACATTATTGTATGATAATAGATGGTTGTAGTGAATTAGAGTCTATTAGACTTTATTTTGGAATGGATTACTGAGAACAATAGCAATGTAATGAGATATTACAAGTTTTTAAAAATGCCACCTGTCCCAGGAATACAGTTACAGTTGGTTCTAAGCTGTAGCAAGCACCTTCCTTATTCTTTTAGTAGCCTATTTCCATTCACCTAAATTAAAAATGGTATTTTATCTAAAATGTATTTGAAGATACTCAAATAGAACACATACATTTTTATATGCCATTCACCCTTAAGTTCTCCATAATTTTTTTTATGTGCATCATTCACCTCAATGATTTATATTTTCTCTATTCTCAAACCATGTTCACTCTTAATTTATACATGTACTGCATTTTATATTGCCAATAAGGCAGCATATGTTGCATTTCATCATTATATGCAGACAGCTTGTTTTCTGGCCCTAAAAACACAAAACCCAGGAAATTTTCAGTGGTGAAATTCCTCGACTTCAGCAAGGGTTTGACACTCTCTCTCACAGCCTTTTATGTGCTGTCAGAGCATCAAACTAAAGCTTCCATTTGTGAACTTCCAGTTCTGGAATAATGTGATTCTCACTTGTTTTTCAGTGATAAAAGTTGCACTCCTCTTTTATGGTTTCATTGACCAGTGTTGTAAGGGAAGTGATTCCATTAAATGTTTCCATGTTGTGTTATCAAAATAATTGCTATTTATCTGCCCTCAGAAACACCAGTTTGCAAGTTGATGTTGTGGTTTAACCCTGATAGGCAGGTGAGCCCTCACAGCCACTCAATCCCCCTCAGTGGGATGAGGAGGAGAATCAGAAGGGTAAAAGTGAGAAAACTTGTTTATGATTTTTGCCTCTTCCCCCTCTTGTTCTTGTGACTGCTGTGCTGAAAAACAGACCTCCCTGTCTGGTGCTCCCTCCTGCTTTGTCTGACACACTCTGATCAAATCTGTTGGTGTCTGGATGCCAAAGTATGTGGTTGTGGTTTTATCCCAGAAAGCACCTAAATCCCACACATTCACTTACTTCCTCTGCAGTGGGCTGGGAGGGAGGATTGGTAGGGTAAAAGTGGAAATTCATGGTTTGCGATAAGGAGTTTAATAAGCTTAAAACAGGCAGAAACAAAATAAACCTAGTGATAGAAAACAACCCCATCTGACCAGTCCCCAGTGAGTTCCTGAGAAATGGCAGCATAGCCAAGCTTCCTTCTTGGCTTTTGTAGCTGAGCATGGCACCACGTGCTCTGGGATATCCCTGGGCTGAGCTGTCCCTGCTGTGTCCCCACCATGTCCTCGTGCACCCCCAGCCTCTCACTGCTGGGCTGTTCTGACAGACAGTGAGGTCCTGCTTCTTCTGCAGGTGCTGCTTAGCAATGGCTGAAGCTTCCCTGGCTTGCCAACACTGTTTTGATCACAAGCCCAAACCACGGCCCATATTGTGAAATCCATCCCAGCCAAAACCAGCACAGAACTGGTACATTTTGGTACACCAGTTGAAATTCAAGTATGTCTTACAAATTTGAGTACAGAGGAAAATTAGGTTTGTGCTGTTTTATGGGGGTGTGTGTTGAGTTAGTCTTTAAATACAGAAAACAAAATAAATAGAATCACCTTCATGTTAAAATTCACCTGAGGACTCAGGTAATTGGGAAGCACTGGGAAAAGGAGAAGTAAGACACACTATTTGAGTGACTTGATTCTATAGTCATTTTACATGTCACAGTGTGACTTTCAGCAGATCTCCCAAGATGTTCATTCTTCAGTGGTATTTTTTGTAAGGCCTAGCATTTTATCCTCACATTTCAGAAAACTGATTGCAGAAAAAATACGTAAGGATTAAATATTTTTTTTTTAAAAGAGTAAAGAAACCTGCTTTTGTTTCCTGGTCAGTAGTAATTGCTTTCTATATGGCAGCGCTGTCTAGTTTAAAATTCCTTTCTGAGCCAGTTGATACATCTGCCTTTAGCATCTTGAAGCTTGAACTTAATATCTTGAACTGATTTATACAGTTGTAGAAATCCAAAAGCATTTTCTGATTGCTTTCTGTGGTAGTTTCTTTGTTCTGACTGGTACTCCTTTAATGCTGCACTTTGTCAAGATCATACAGTCATTCCTGTTCCCCTCTTCTGTGCCTGCCTGCTCTTAGAGATTTTCTTATAGACTTGGTCCCTTTCAGATTTTAATTTCTGGGCTGAAGAGTTGAGTTTAATGCAGTTTGGATTTTCAGTATCAAAACCTTGTACTACTACTTGATTCTCTAAAGAGATCTGAGGGTATTTTGGCAATACTGCTGTGTCCATGAATTACAAACCTTGTAAATGAAAATTCTGATCTAACACTTTTTTCAAAATAATTTTAGAATTCACATTTTGTTCAAGCTGGTGTTGTTCATGCCTGTCCTCTCCTGAGTTTCCCAGCCCACACCCTCACCCCGACCTGCTGTTCACAGAATAACCAACTGCTCACAGAATAAGCATAGAAAAGAAAGAATGATGAGATAATACAGATATCTTGTGAAATTGTGGTTTATAAACTCTACTAGATGTACCAGAATTCATGTAACTATGTAGAACTACAGCATTACATAATAAAATTGCACTGTACAAATACAAAACCAAGAGAATAATTAATAAAATAGGATGACAGAATGATAGATAAAAGATCATGAAACGCAGTTGCTGTGAGACTCAGAAATTATTGTACAAACACCTCCATTGTATGCTGAAATGTTCAAGAAAAAGGCAGTTACCATCGTATCTTTAAGAAATTACATTTGTGGGAATCTTTCTTTTGAAGATTAAGAAAAACCTTAATATTACCCCAAAAAAATAAAAAAAAAAAATAGACTGGCTTGTCATTGTAATTTGTTTAACATGTTTATATCCAGTTCCATCAAATCTGAATGATGTAAAATCACATCAAAATTAAATCAAGTTTATATCTATATGCTTACTTTGTTCAATCAGAGTATTATGAGTATCTTCTGTAAAATCAGAATATAGTATGGAATTAGTAAAAATCCACACATTTTGGCAGATTTGGCATTAAAAACCACACAATCCATTAGAGAAGTTACATATTAAAAGCAACTTCTTTGCACCTGCTTACTTGAGCAGTATTGTTTGTATGTGTCAAGATAATAAATCCTTATTTTACAGAGCTCAATGTCTGGCCTCTATTTCTTTTGACTTTCTGGTCTGTTATGCCAGACATTTGAGTTGTTCATCGTTGTGCTGATTTAGTCATCTTTGTGCCAGTCATCCCCCCACCTTCAGATCTCTGGTTTTTGAGAAATATTACAGCTTGAAATCTGTCTGTGCCTTAATAAATAAAGCTGTTTGGTTTTAATCTGAGAATATAGCTGCAGCTATGAAACGTTGCTGTTGCATTGCTATTCACATGGCATCAGCAATTGTCAAGATTATTTTAATCACATGGAAAGAAAAGTCTCCTGACAGGGAAGAAGCATACAGCTGGAATGAGTGGAAATCTAGGAGCAGACCAATGGCTGAGCCTGGCTGATCTTTTTGGTTCTGTGAGTTTATGTTCCTTGCTGAACTACTTTGTGTAGCTGCAGTAATCAAATTTGTCATTTCAAAGGAAATCTTAGGAAATACCCACATATCATCTCTCCTTGATTTAGTTCAAATTTTCTGAGAGCTGTGCTTGTTTTTCCTCAGGTGTTTGACCTTGACACTCATTAAAATGTTAGAAATACAAGGGTCTTAGTGGGATTGAATACTTTAACTTTGCTGCTTAATAAAACTTAGAGTGTCTTCTGTACTTAAAACTGAATTTGATAGGTGTTGTATTCTTCACCTCATTTTTAAGACTCGTGTTGCTAAATTTCTCAAACATATTCTTTAAAAATTTGTTTGTAAATGTAGTTAAAATACCGATCTCTTGGAAACCTGTTAAGACAGAGAAAACCATAAAATACATAAAACCTGCAATGTTATCTGGACAAAATGTCTGAGAACTTCCTAATTTGTTTTCTTGGATAAACAAGAGTGAAAAAATGCTTCTGAGAAGTAAGTTCTCGTTTTCACTAACAGAAGTAAGACTTCTCATTTTTCTTAACAGGAGGAAAAAGGCAGAATTAGTAGCTGTAGAGTAGAGGATTTTGTGATCTGAAATTGGTGACCTGGAGGGACAGAGATTCATTTAAACATTCAAATCATTGACTTCTTCCTTGAGTAGCTGGAGTGAGGAGTGGTTGTAGATAATCGCTCTTGAGCGTATTGGCCAAGTTTTATGTCTGAGGTGCTCTCCAGGTTTAGGCTTGACTCTCCGTGAAGTTTTCTGCAAATCAGTTGGAATACAGTCTTACGGACACTCCTGGACATTAGGAAATACATGACTGGGTCTAGGCAGCTGTTAAATGATGAAAAGATGAGCATCACCTCATTGCACGTGTGAATGATCTCCATCCAGTAACAGGATGGGGTTTGTAACTGTGATGTGATGTAGACAAACCTGAACATGTGATAAGGTACGAAACAGATGGTGAAAATTATGAGAACAATGAAAGAGTTTCTTGCTGTCTTGGTGTATTTTCCTGCATTGGGAAAATTTGCCCTTCTCCTCGAAATTTTCAGAAGGTTCTTGGCAATTTTAACATAGGAAAGTATCAAAAGGAAAAAAACTATCCAAAAAATCAGTACAGTGATATAATTTAAAATTGCTTCTGTCTTCTCTGCATTCTGTTTGCTTCGGTAATGAAAGCACTTGGTAGAGTTGCTGTCCTCATTCTTAAAGAAAGATGGTGCAACTATGACTATAAATCCTGTCAGTGCAATCGCCCACACCGTGCAACAAATCTGCACACTCCGGGTAGTGGTCAACATCTTCGGACGCTTCACAGACTTATTTATCTTTATATAACGATCCAGACTAATTAGTCCTAACAGTACTATGCTAATGTACATGTTCATGTAAAACAGCGTTCCCACAACCTTGCAAAAAATCCTCCCGAACATCCAGTGGTTGGTGGCATGATAGAGTATCCGGAAGGGGAGACAGAAGATCAGCAGAAGGTCTGCAACAGCAACGTTTAGCAAGTAAACTTGGATAGAATTCCTTTTCTGATGAATGCACAGGAAAGCAAACAGGGCTATAATATTTCCAACTAATCCAACGACAAAAATAATGGAGTAAAAAACTATCAAAGCAAGTGACAGCGAGTTGTTGTCATCCAAGGAACAGCTGGCATCATTGTGGCTTTCTGAGGCATTTGTGGTCAGGTTGGTTTGGTTACTCCAAAATTCTTCCTTGTGTGGACCAATGGTTGGTAAATCAGCTGAAGTTGCAGCCATCATTTGCAAGAGCTGTTCTGCAAAGAAACAAAAAGAGATTTTAAGAATTAAATCTCCATTCATGTGTCTGTTTGATTTATTGCCTACAGTCTAATGTGATACAAACATGAAAGGCAGTAGCTAAAAGGAGTAAATGCCCCATAATATAAGCCTAGGTAATCTGCAGGCAAGAATGAATAGATAGAGTACTCACACAGATAACTATTTCTGTAATTACAGCATTATTACTGTCTTCTGTTGTTTTAAAAATTAACTATTACATTTTCCTGAAAACTTAAGAATTTTTTTTTATCTATATGAACAAGTAATTTTTTTTAAGTTCAATTCTTAGTCCCATCATTTCTTGTGCAGAAAATTTTTTTCCTGAAGTGCAGGGATATATAAACATAACTAAGTATTCTCAGTGCTGATACAAAGTACATAGACATATATTAAAAAAAGTCTTAACTCATCTGTGTTAATTTTAAATAATTCAGATCTTTCACGTGGGACTCACTGGTCTTCAATTAAAAAAGCATTCATCGATTAGTATTTATTTGGCTATGTACTGTGTTATGAGTAACCCTGTGGGACAGTATTATTGCAGCAGCTTGTCTTTAATAATCTGTACCTTCACATAAATTTAAGTGTTTTTTTCCTTTTCTTGACTATTCACAAATCAGTATTACACAAATAAACTTCTATTAGCTGGAAATCACATTAATCCAGTAACAGGTTGTTTTCAAACCTTCCTTGTGTTCATGGTTTTCTTTGTTTTCATTGGATAGTTTTTAATTTCACTAAGCTTACTGCTGACCAGGAAGGCAGAATGTGAAACACAAAGGTCAGCCTTGACCGAGGAAGGAAAGCCAGAAAAGTGTGTGGTTTGGAGAGCAGTCATGTGAAGGCGTTTTGAGAGATGGTTACCACTGATAAGTAATGATAAAACTTTACTCTTCAACTTGCTTGTCGTAGCAACAAGAAATGCCGCAAAAAAGTTTATTTAAGATATTTTTGTTTTACAGAGGAAAGAGGTTTTTTCCTGGTAATCTCACGAAATTTTCAGAAGTGGTTTTGGCACTTAGTTATCTGTCAACTGTCACAAAAAAAAATAAAACAACAAAAAAACACTGATGTATATGTTATCTTAAAATAGCTTTTATGCTCAATCTGTGTCTAGGGCATGCAATTTGCATGCTGGGTCTTAAAATATACAAATTTACATTTAGTTCTGTGATGCAGCCACAGAAGTAAAAATTACGACACACTTCAGGTAAAATTTTTAAGAAGACCTAATGTCCTTACAGAATCTGACTCCTTGAGAGAAGAGTCTAAAATATTTTAATATCCTATGTTTTTTGACCCTACAATTGCATTAAACTGGAAGGGTACATTAGCAGTGTCAAAAACAGCTGTCCTCATACTTGCCACTTTGTCAGGGCAAGTAATTTCAAGAGGTTGATTTCAAACTGCGATGCTTTCAAATAAATACATCTTGAAACCCATCTCCTGCTATGACTTCACATTTAAGTTGCTTTCCTGTGAAAATGTTTGATATGGGAACTTGTATAAGCAGTGATAAGTTTTGATCAATGAGGGAGAAACTTATGCTGCAAATGATTTGGAAACAAAACTTTTCACTGTCCTAAGTTGTGTCACCTCTAAGAAAGCACACACGCTTAAACCTGGGTGTGCTTAGAAAAGGATTTGGAGGTCAGTAACACCTCTGCAGTTAAGAGAAATGTTAGTAGAGATCCATTTCACAACAGCTTAAGTATAAAAGAAGCTACTTACCATTTATTTGTTAGGAAGTTCTGGTTCTGAAAACCGCTGGTGAAGATAGGGAGGAGAAACGTGCAGGTCCTCTTATTAGAAAGCTCCAGCAGCTTCTCTCTGAAAGTGGTGAGCTCCAGCTGACTCTACAATTGGCAACAAGAGGAAGTTTTAGCTGGTGTTGCAACTGGTGTGCTTTGGGGTTTTTTGTGTTTTTTGGTTTTTTTAAAGGCATATTTAACTACCCTGTTTGTTTGGGCTCTGCTGGGAGAGGTTCTGTAGTAAATTTTTCTCAGTTTTACTCTGAACTGGAGATTCGATTCTTTTTTCTCAGAGAATTTGTTTCTGGTGAGCAATGCCAGTGGCTTTTTGGGTGATAACGATGCTGGTACTGTCATCTCTTTAATACTTCATGAAAATAGTGCCACTTTTTCCAGTGTAGGGTAAAGATAAATCAGCACCACAGTGGAATGGTACATTTTGTTAAATTTTCTATAGTTCTCCCATCTACCTTTTTCCTTGCCTGGGATTAGAATTGTTGTTTTTTCTCACTCAAAATGACCATGTTGAGAGGATGTGAAAGTACCCGAAGTATGCAGCTTAACCATTTCACTAAGGCAGAAGTGAAATACAATATGCAGCAGTAATGCCACCTGGTAATTCTCTTTCAAGTGGGGCATAAGGAATTGCAAAATTACATTTACAAATTGGAAATTTAAGAGTGGATTCTAGAAGACCTGATATGACAAAGCCTAAATTTAATGAAGATCTCAAGAACATTGTCTTGAAGGTCTTCATTCTCATATAATTTAAACTTTGACAAAGAGATGTGGGTGGTTAGAGATTATGACTTTACAGGTAGTCAGAACTTCTGGTAGCTCCTGTGCACTCTTTGAGTTCTTAGTTTTGCAGTTTAAGCAGTAATGTATTCTTGGGAAGTCGTATACAAATTTGAGGTTTTTCGTTTTAAATAATATGGTATTGAAAAGAAAGACTTTGAGCAAATGCAGGAAGTTTTAAATTAAATGCAATTGTTTGGGTATATATATTTAGTACCAAATTGTGTTCTAATAGATTTTGTGTGTATGTTGCTTCCTCCTACAGCAGTCAGTACCCATCTGAATTGTTGTATATTTTTTTCATTTTTATATGTTAACACTTCACTCTTATTTGTGGAAAATCAAAGGTATAGATGACTGTGGCTGGAATCCAGTTTAGACACCTAAAGGATGTCCCTCACTGGAATATCCCAGGGGTATTCTGCACTTGAGAAGTGCTGTGTGAATTCTGTGATTAAGGCTCAAAACAGTGTTTTATGTTCTCTGTGGGAAGGATAAGACTCCCACAAAACGTATCATAGGCAGGATATTTCAGCTGGGGAATTGAAACAGTGTAAGGGTTAATAGGATGAAAGACAAAAAGGAAAAGTAATGCAAGGTAAGAAATTATAGACATGAGTTTTTTATCTCCATTTTATCGTGATTCACTTTATTTTCCTTGCTAGTTCTGATAAGTTCTGAAAGGATTTTGGTAAGCCTGGGGCAATGAAAGGGAAGCCAATGTAGAAAGAGGAGTCCATGCCAGAAAAGAAGATAACTGAAATTAAAAGATTATTTAAACAAAACAAAATCTAACTTCTGCTCAAAGATTTATGAAAGTAAGTTCTAAAATACAGATTGTATTTCTCAAACAATGTAATAATTTGTCTGGATTTTTGTCTTTTCAGCCACACTGTGTACTGCTTGCCTCAAAAGAGAATTCAGCCCCAGTAAAGCTTGGTGGCTTTGGGGTAGCAATTCAGTTAGGAGAGTCTGGGCTAGTTGCTGGAGGTAAGAAATTTTCCTTTCAAGTTATTTAGTATTGTGCATGTTGTACTGCAAAGTTCTGTTCTTCTGACACAGCCTGGCCTGCAAAACAAGAGCTCAAAAATAATCTTTCACTAAAGGCTTTGTTAACATGGTAAATGCACAGAGCCAAGCTAAATTGGTAGTGGAATGTAATGTGCATTCACACATTGACTATTAAATCTTCGTAAATGTTACTCAACAGGAGCTCATGCTGGTTTGATCAAAATAAAACTGAAAAAAACCACGAATAATTTTCCACTTTAATACAAGTTTTGGCTTAATTCTTCCATGCTTTGTAAAGCAAAGAAAATAAAAATGCAGTCATTGAAGCACTTGAGTAAGGGCTTAGTGCAGCATCATCAGTGCTGTTTGATAGACAGATTCTGTCAGAATGCTGTGCTGTTTAATTGCAAAGCCTTACTAGTTTTCACAGGTGATTCTTTTCTGTGTTTTAAAATTTCATTGTAATTATTGCTCAAGACATCAATATCTTGATACGTATGTATATTTTTTGACTGTGTTTTGTTTTCTGTGGATTTTATTTCCTCTAGCTGCCTTCCATATTGTTCCAGACAATAGGGTTATGCTTTAATCAGCCTGCACAGATGAAGACCCAATCAATTTTCTGATGTTTTCATTGCCAGAGTAGGAGACCACAGCAAAACATTTTGTTAGTTTTAATATTTTTTCTTCAAAATTAATAACTTCCTTCAGTACCATGCTACTTCAAAAACTCAGATTTCCTAATTTAATCACTTAACATTTTGTGTCAATTTGACTTTTGTATGTTTTTTAAAATAAAAAGCAAATCAAATATAAACATACCAACAGCTTCCATTCCCTTCCAGATATTGCTGATACCCTGGAAATATCCAAGTATCTTATTAACTAGAGACATCTTTTCCAAGAAAATACCCATTCAGTTAAGCTGTTATAAAAAGGTCATTCCTTTCTGTACTTTCCTTGTGTTACTCAATTTATCTGTACCTCAGCCGCTGCTTTTTTTAGTGGTAGATTCTACACTTTTGTTTATAATTATCTCATTTTTCTTCTTTATGTTCTGCTGAGCAACTTTACCCACTTCTTCTGTTTCAGCCACTCTCCTGGATTTAGTCAGATGCACTTCTTGTACTTTCACATTACCAATTTCACATTACCAATTGTCTAGTGAGAAACATTCAAGTTCAACTTGGAAAAAAACCAATTACTGCATTTTTCCCAAAGCTTGCCGTGCCCTTCCTTTTGTGTTACTGTTCCCAGTGCTGTGATCCCACTCACTGTTCCTGTGCTCAACCTCCATGCAGTGATCAGTGCTGGGGGATCACTGCAGCTCTTGCAGAAGATCTCAAAGCTCTTCACTGTGATATTTATCAGTATCTTTTGCTTCTTCCACCTCAACTTCTGCCATGTTGGTCTGCCTTCACACACTTCTTTGTTTTCCTTTTTTTCAATTGGGATTTTCAATTTGCAACCTTTGCATTGGCTCTTGTTGCTTTCAGCTTCAAATTCCACTCATTTTCAGGGATACCCAGGGTAATTCCACTTCATGTATATACTGTGGAAAGTCTCCTTAACAGACTCTTCTCCTTCTTCTCATCTTCCATTCCAGTCTTTAAAGCATAAACTACCTCTGTTATCTGGCAATTCTTTTCCCTGCCAGAATCCTACCTGAAGACAAATTACTAGACAGTTCCCTACACGTAACTGGCAAGGTCTTATTTATTGTTTTACAATATAACCCATGTGTGTTATATGAAAGCTGTCAGTACTGGCTGTTTGAACTGGACTACAAATTATAAATCAGTGTTTATCTACACATTTACTTAAAGGTGTTATTCACATGCCCTATGCATAAGTTTTGTCTTAATAGTAACAATAATTTACAGGCACTTATTTAGTAGAAGTTCTCCAAATAGAGAAGTCTGAGCAGTATCATAACCAACCTGTTCATTTTCACATCGCTTTTCTAATTTTTAGTGAAAAATATTGATTCCTCTTGACATAGTAAATTGTTTCCCTCTTGGCATGGCAATGCTTGCATTTGGTGGTTAGTACATCAAAAAATAAATTCTCTGTTAAATAAAACCTATCATGGCATTAAGATAATTTTACTGATCTGGAATCCCCTGTGCTTGCTTTGTGCTTTTTTTTCTACTTTTGTACACCTTGACACACCTGTGCCTGGCAATCCCAGATTCTGTGTAGCCCCAGGAGAACAAACTAAAGGGAATTTTCTCCCTCAGTGTGTTTGAAGCCTGCCTTCAAGCTTACAGCATTTGCTTTGTTTGGGACTGTAACATTTTTTGACTTGACAAAGGCATTTTTATCAGAGTGTGCATAAATTGCTGGGGAAGGAAGTCAAATTAAACCCTGGGTATTAAAATCTTTTTATCTAACTCCAAAGACAGATTTGTGAAGTTTAGAAGGATTGTAACTACAGGGTTCTTTCAAGCAGCTAGATGGCTGTTTTAACAGAAGTGTAAGAGAGCTCATGACAACAAGCTATGACATCATACTAGATGTCATTAATGAAAATGTGTATGGAGGAGAATTTAGGAGTGACTGTATTTTATAAGCTAACAACTCTGTTGAGATTATTTTTAAGGAAGTTTAATTATTAAGTATTATTTACTTTATGTAAGTAAAATAAAGTACCAAAAAAAAGGATGTAGCCATAACTCATTTCTTCGTAAGACCAGAGGGTAAAACATAAGGAACTATTCTGTTCCACTCCATTTGCCCATAAGCTGCAATAAATGGGCTAAGAATCATGTGATGTCATCTGAGCTACAGGGAACAGGTTTCATGAGCTACCAATCTCTTCTTGCTTCAGTCCTTATGATCAGAAGTGGAAAACTGTGCTAGAGGCTTCACTTGAAGCCTTGAAATAGGTACTTTTTAAAGGAACTCTGGCATTATACACAGGAGTTAGAGATCATCATAATTTATAAGTGAATTCCTTTTTGGAACAACATGTTAGACAATAAACAGTCTGTGTTGCGTTGTTACGATGCAGGAGTAGTGGAACCTCTGGGAAGTCAGTGATTTAATAGACTAATCTCACATTATGATCTCTGTCTCCTTCCTTGGAGATTTTTTCTTGCAGAACATAGTATGAATTGTCACAACATTTTCTTAAATGTGACATCAGATTTATCTGGTATCAAATATCTTAGATACTAAATCTTGGCATTTTTTAGCTAGTATATGGTATAAAAGTCTGAAGGAACAAAAGATCCATTGAGTTCACAACTGGTATTTCCTTCACTTAATCTGCTTAATTTCTG